GCATGAAGTGAAAAAAGGAACTTAATACCCCGAGTACTAGAGTTAGAATAAAACCGGATATTTATATACATATATACTATATCTATTTTAAAAATAAAAACTTCAAAACAGTAATATGTTTACTGCTTATTTCAACTCGATGGAAAAATTGGCAAATAATTTGACCCATTATGAACACATCTTATCTCACCAGAGATTTCAAGATAGCTTCTCCATAACTTTAGGTTTACGATAATTTAAGGAAGTGAATAGTTTTTTTGTTTTTTAAATTGGCAAAATAATGACCGGTGACTAGTGGAGTTCAACTGGATCTGTTGTGAGATAGTAACTCACTGATGACAATAGTGGATGTGTCGCCCAATTTCGTGGATTAGTTGAAGTTAGACATTAACACAGTTGGATACCGACCATTTCATTGATCTAGAAGTTAAGCGCTCGTGCGCGAGACCGATAGGTCCTGTGTTCGTATCTCGTGAGGTGAAATCGTGGATGTGCACTGATAAGGAGTCCGACAATGGAACGAAACGGTCGTCCATTGCTTCCAGATTTTCCATAGTGGTCTAGCTTCAATTGACTCATGATCTCAACTATTAAAATAGATTATATTAATAGACATGGTTAGTAAATTACTGAGTATGATGAATTGCTTGTTAAAATATTAATAGAATATTCTGATGAAGTTTACAATAAACTGATTTTGATGTATATAATTTCAATATTTACGTTAGTCTCACAATAGTTAATCATAATTAAGTTGATAAATCAACCAAAGTTGATTATTTTATATAATTTGGATTATATTATTAATGATTAAATGGTAGAGTAGACAAATATTTTTGAACTCTATCTACCATGATATCTATTAAGAAAGATTGACTCGCGAGGAGCAGGCTGGTTTTCGTTCTGGTCGAGGATGTATTGGTCATATCTTCACCCTCCGCCAAATGTTAGAACACCGTCATACTTATCACAGGCCAACAATCGTAGTGTTTCTTGACATCAGGACTGCCTTCGATTCATTGGATAGGACTGTTCTCTGGGATTGTCTATTGAAAAAGGGTGTGTCTGAGAAGTTTATTAACATCCTAAAAGCCCTATATACAAACACTTCAGGCAGAGTGAGGGCATACAACCACCTCTCTCCATTGTTCCATTCAAGCAGTGGAGTTAGCCAGGATTGCCCAATCTCATCATTCCTCTTCAACTTTGCCATCGACGACATTCTGGAAACAGCTTTGATGGATGTAAGTAATGACGATGTGGATCTGTTGCCTGGGGAAAGACTTCTCGACCTTGAGTATGCGGATGATATTGTCTTACTGTGTGAGTATGCCCAAGGCATGCAATCCGCACTTAATCAGTTGGCAATCAGTGTCCGTAGGTATGGTATGTGCTTTGCACCTTTGAAGTGCAAAGTACTTCTACAAGACTGGCAAGACCCTGATCCTGCACTCACCCAGCGTAGTGAGTAGATAGAAGTAGTTGAGAAGTTCGTGTATCTAGGTAGCTGCATAAGTGCTGGTGGTGGCGTGAGTGATGAGATCGATTAACGTATGATGAAAGCCAGAGGGGCTTATGCCAATCTTGCCCATCTTTGGCGCCTTCGTGATGTCAGTCTGGCTGTGAAAGGTCGGCTCTACAACGCGTCGGTGAGAGCAGTTGTGCTCTATGCTTGTGAAACCTGGACTCTCCGAGTTGAGGATTTTAGACGACTCTCTGTGTTTGATCATTGTTGTCTCCGAAGGATTGCTGACCTCCAGTGGCAACACGATGTTAGTGATGCAGAGGTTCAACATCGTGTGTTCGGGCGCAGATACGATAATCCATTTGGTATCACCATCTTGGAACATTGACTTCGGTGGCTTGGACATGTTCTACTAATGTCGTCCCAGAGAATCCCACGTAGTGGATTATTTCCGACTCTGGGACTGGTTGGAAAAAGCGGAGTGGTGGTCAGTGTATGACATGGTGTCGTGGTGTGAAAGAAAGCTGCAAAGGGCTGGCTTGTGTTTGTCCTTCACGACTCCCTGGCTGGGGTCCGAGAGATGGTGCTACACAGTGGCTAGAGACGTCATCAGACATGGCTCAGAACAGAAGTCAGTGGGGATCCTACTGTAACCTTCTTTTACTTTATTCATAAAAAGTGGCTGTATCTTCTTTAACTGAAAGAATTCTTCTGGTTGTGCCATTCCGTTTCCCCCATTATTATTATTATTATTATCACTACACTACCTTACACTAATCTGTGGTCGTTATTGCTCTTTTTTTCTCTCATACGCTCCCTACATTCTTTTTCTCTTCCCATTCTCATTGTTTTGTGTTGCGCATATATATCCGGTGCCCCCTTGTACCAGTATTTATATGTTCAAATAAATAAATAAATAATTGAGTTCGATCATTGTTGTAATAAGTTCATCAAACAATCTTTGGATTTAATAAGTGATATTGATTATGTAGATCATATTTCATCTAATTAGAACAACACCACCACCATCAACAACAACAAAATACTCTCATAATTATCCGTCTATTAAGTAAACCTCTTATGTATATAGAATTTGATAATGACAATTTTTCTATAAATAAATTTGTTTCTTAATATTAATAATGGTATCGGATTGACATTAATGAAATTCTTAAATATTTTCTCAAATGTGTAAGATACAATATACTAGGTAACCTTTGTTCATTGGACATAGATATTAAAGCTTTTTTCACAATAGAAAATATCAATATTCTAAATCAGTTTGCATCGTTGGAAAAATTTTTCTAGTATGTTTATTATTTAACAGAAATGATTATCTTGGAATGTATATTTAATCTTAATGTCCTGAATCATTGAATAGTCCCTGAATATTAATTAACCTAGTGATTACTTGAGAAGCTGATAGATTTTATTCAATTTAACATACTGATAACGATGTAATTTAAATAATCGTTTTTTTTAACTTCAGTTACAGATAATCTAAAGTCAATAATCAAAATATAAAGTTATTGTTCTTACTGATAAGAACGAATTATCACATGAAGTTCTGCATAACTTAGTCATTTTTATGTAACATATTTGCTTATCTGATGAACGATTACAAGTGAATATTGATGCTTTACGTTGTTGTAGATTTATATCTAGTGGATCGTATGCTTCATGAGTTCTTATAATCTCTTGTCAACTGTACTAAGTATGAACAACTTGAGGCAGAACTACAACCTGAAAGTGACAGTTCTAATTGTTAAAGTAATATTATGTTTGCACCTGGATGATCAAATGAAATAAACAATAAGCATTCAAATACTAAACAATTCACCATGGTGTTCCTGCAGATTTACTGACTAAGGTTAGATAAACGAGCATAATCAACTCCTGAATAGAGGTTTAAAATATACAACAATAATTCACGGTATTCGGTTTCAGAATGTCTATGTCTAACTAGAAGCTGGGTTTCAACACTCAAAACTTAAGTATATCATTTGAAATATCCTTCCAGATAACGGTAGATTAAGAAATCTAGGCTCAGTAGTAGCTATTGCAGAATTCCAGATGTTTGCTAATTGTTGATTGATCTTGCAGTAGGAGGTCATTTCTTTTCTTGAAGTTTTTTAACCTGAATCCTGGTTAATACAGGTGGTCTCGTTAGTAAGGGACTGCTATAAGTAAATCCGAAGATAAAATTCTTTAGGTCAACTATACACGATATTTTGTAAGTGGTATTTTTTAAGGTAATAGTAACTGGAAAAATTATTTAACTTTGCGTTAGGCACCCGAAACCCATGAACTAAAAGAGGTTATATTTGAGACAGTTATTTTTACTATCTTCCTCTTGTTCAAAAGAAAACAATATCACCACATATTTTGGTTATTCATGAGAAGCCTGATACTGTTGAAATATTGTGACAAATTTGTGTGATAAATATATACGTGCAAGTAAAAAAAACTCTTCAGCCTATTTACCTAATATCGGAGGAAATCAAATGAGAATTATCCAAGCCAGTAAAGACTGATGGATTCATCAAAACTGAAAAACACAACGTAAAAGTCATGACAACAAGTACCTTAATTGCATTTCACCAGTCAATAGTATTAGGATTGTAACAGGTATTTTCTAAAGTAAGAGATATTAACGGGATTCGCAATGTATTGCTAATAAGATATTAGTAATATCTGTAGGATTTATCATCATGATTCCAGTGAAGGAAGAAATCATGAAGAAGCTCTGGAAGTGGATAGAACATACATTGAGGAAAACATTCAATTGTGTCACAAGGAAAGCCCTCATCCGAAAGCCTTAAGGCCAAAGGAGAAAAGAAAGATCAAACAACGTATTACTCTGAAAAATCAAGACAGACATGACAAAAGTGAACCACAATTGCGTAAAGCTATAAAAGAAGGCCCAGGGCAGAGTGAGCTGGTGAATTTTATTCGGTGACTTATGCTTCATTTGGGGTAATAGGCGTAAGTAGGTAGGTAGGTAGGTAGGTAGGTAGATAGGTAAGTAAGTAAGTAAGTAAGTAAGTAAGTAAGTAAGTAAGTAAGTAAGTAAGTAAGTAAGTAAGTAAGTAAGTAAGTAAGTAAGTAAGTAAGTAAGTAAGTAAGTAAGTAAGTGAGCATCATCATGATATAAATATAATCACTTTTAACCACTAGCTTTATAAGAGAAGAATTAAGTCAATACTTTTCATTATTTCATAATTAAATAAGTCGAATAGTGAATTACATGTACATGTATATGAATAATATGGGTATATATCTTTAAAATAAGTTAAAGACAAGTATATTTGGATTTAAAATGTTATTACATAATATATTTAGCATACAAAATACATGGTATACTTAAATTGATATATATATATACCTTCCTGTAAACTTGCAGCTTATTTTCTATGTTATGACAATCATTAATTCATTATAAGTCAACTTAAATATCAAACAAAGAAAAAAAAAGAAAAAAATAAACTAAAATCTTTTTTTCATATTTTTTCACAAATTAAAATTGAGTATAAAAAACAACGAAAAAAAGAAAAAGAAAAATATCGGAAAGACTAAATTATTGAATGAAAACTAGAAAATTGTATTAAGAAGAACTATGTGGATGATGACATGTAATTTCTATTGTAGATTTTTCATGCCGTAAATTTTTGATGTTTTTTTCCTTTTTTTTCTTTTTTATGTTATTGTTGATGCTCAATGATTTTATTTCCATAATTTTCACATGGATTTGATAATCATATTTAGTTGTGACCATTATATGTTGTATTATTAGAATTATGATTGAATAGACTAGAAATTGATTTTCATCCATTGAAAAGAATAAAAGACATTCTATTTTCAAATATTATTTTGATTGTATAAGTGAATAACTCTTGATAAGTAAGCTGGAATTATTTTCAGTTGATTAGTTCAGACATTAATATCCTCATCCGTATGCTCACTACAATAATAGCAATAATAATAATGGTAAGAATAACTGATTTTTATAAGTAGTCATTGAAATCTGTGAAAGTAATCTGAATGTTGACACAATGGAATCTATGGAAAATAACATTAACCAAATGAGTGCTAGAAATACGGGAACACTAAAAATCTATTCCATATTAAAATGGCAGTTTTTTTAAATACAAATTTGATATTTTTTGATTTCAGATATATAATATTTATTTTGCTAAGAAAAGAAATATATTTCCATCACATTACTATAATATAATTAAGTAGATCATAATTTCAAGTTCAACCTATTTGTATAGTGTACTAGTTTATTAAATTATAATGTTCAATAAATTGTCTCCTTTTAGTTTAGTGAATTTCTGATTATCCCAGTAAACTACTGACTACTACTACTATACAATGATTGTAAAATTTTGAAACTAGCTAAATGATCAATTCATCAGTCTCTTATCACCATCCTGACTAATCAGTCTGATCAACTACAGTCCAAAATATCAATGGGAAAATTTAAACAAACAATACAAAAAATAAATTAAAACTTTATCTCATTGTACACGCTAGTAGCTGTCGTGACTCAGTAGTTAAATGGATCACGTGATGGCGTTCGAAGTGAACGGCACTGGGTTCGAGTTCTGTGGTGAACACCGACTCTAGTATGCTGGTATATCCAGCTGGCGAGTTCCAAATAGGACGGAACGTGCGTCCTAGATTTCACCATCCATCTTTTTTCACAACAGCTAATTGATTTTTATCATATCCCTTGTTATTAAATTATCTGATTTTATTACTTCATTAAAGATGTGCATAATCAGCTACAAGTATAAATCAAACAGGATATATCAATATTGTTGCATAAAGCTGACAATTGATGCAAAGAGTATTTTATGACAATAAGATTTTTACTGCGAAGCCGATATAATAGCTAGTATGAAGTCTTGATTTCATTCTATCCATAAAATCCTTTCTAATCTCTTGTATTACACCAATGAATCTTTGAAAAAACTGTAAAATGAATTCCACTATTCGTATAAATTACAGTAAATAGTAGTTTTAAAAATATTCCATCTAAATGGATTAACTGGCCTATTGTAACACCAGAATATTTCTTACATATAATGCAAAGGAAATATTAAAATCACATTGGTCGTAAGACAACTATATGATTTTAGGATTCTTTTACTGCCTGAATAAATCAAAATATTTCCCTTCAGTTTTTGAAAAGAGAAATCTCTTTTTAACAATTCATATGAAATGTTTCAAGTATTCTGAGAAATACCGTTGGGATATAGAAATGTCTACTTGCATGTTGTTAAACCTCTAACTTTCCTGAATACAATGCAATGCAAATCATTTATCACTCAGCTGATCATTTTAATAGATCAGAAAAGTATTCATGGTATCAAAGATAAATTGAATAGGCTAATATAAACGTGTAGAAATTTAAACAGTAAAAAAATAAAACAACAACCAAAGTTATGAAAAACTGTTTCTTAGTTTGTAAAATATAGATTTATTTTCAGAAAGGGGTTTTGTGGAGATTGTAGTATTTTTATAATCATCTTGTGCTCACTAGTGACTGTCTGCAAGGGTTATTTCCTGTAGTTCTATTAAGAAGCAGTAGCCGGTGGAGTTCAACCGGGTCTGTTGTGAGATAGTAACTCACTGAAAACAGTAGTGGACAGCGGCGCAATTTTGTGGATTGATTGCACTTAGTTAGCCGGCTCAGTGGTTTATAGGCTAAGCGTTAGCACGCGAGAGCGATAGGTCCTGGGTTCAAATCACTCTAGCGGGATCATAGATGCTCACTGCTGAGAGGAGCCTGATACTAGGACGAAACGGTCATCTAGTGCTTCCAGGTTTTCCATGATGGTCTAGCTTTAATTAACTCACAAATTCAATTACAAAAATAAATTTACTTACAAATTTTCAGAAAATTTCCAATTTTTTCTTAAAAATCGATAAATTGGAATAAATTTAGTTCCAATTCTAGTCCATAAATTTAATGAACGATTAGATTTACAATAATCAGTAGATATTACAGTAGAAATATGATCATCTTGTAATATATTATTATCAACATTAATAATTTTACTCATATTAATTTGTATTGAATTATTTTCATTTTGAAAACAATTTTCAAATTGTTCTATAAGTTTATTAATATTTTGTTGTTGAGTATAATTACTACTGATATCAGAAGAGGGACTACTGATATCAGAAGGGGGACTATTGGTATCATCTATATTTGTATTATTATTATTATTATTTAATATATTTAATGGAATAGTTAAATAATATAAAGCTAAAATTTTGAAAATATAATATTTTTCTGATTTATCACATTGATCATTCCACCATTGTATTGGGTTTTCATTAATATTAATTGATTTTTCATTTAAATAATCATTAATTGAATATTGAAATTCATCCATATAACTCATTTTACGATGTAATCCCATTTTTTCAACATAATCGTCAAGTAATGATATCTACAATGTAATAGAATGAAGAAAAACAAAACTGTTAAAAGTGACATTTTCTTATATATTTTCATTATTTTAAATACACTAAAGAATGAATGGTTCCTTTTGTTAAAAAAAAGAAAAGAAAAGAAAAGATTATACGTTCAAACCAATCTGAAATAGTAACCTATGAAATTTAACGTTTAATAGTGATTTTAGATTATTTCAGCCATTTATTAATAAGATAATGTATAATATGATCTTGTATACTTGTTATTGATGGTTTATTACAATATACAAACGTATACTTGTTTAGTTCGTTAGCAATGCTTATAATGTTACTCCTACATGAATGATAGAATAACTTATTGCAAATCAGGAAGAAATAGATGCTCATATAAAGATTGTAAAGATCGAATTAGAGATTAAACAGTTAAAACAAATGGGCAGTTGACGAACCAATCAGGTACAAGATAATAGGTCTCGAATTTCGGCGCGAAATTCGCTCATTAATTAGGCAAAATAAAGTTTTGACATTATAGCTGATGTCGGTTCGTTATGAAAACCATAAATATTATTCTTAATCTTAACTGTCAACTGTAAATCACAATTCGAAGTCCTCACACAGGTTTATAACCCTCATTTGGTTCTATTTATTAGGTAGACACTATCAAGGTCAGTCCAGTGTGGCTGAAAGGTCGTTCATAAATTATGGTCTCATCATGTACAACTTTTATATATACTGTCAAATTGAAAGTATTAATGGATGTGTTTTTTTAAGCAGTTTAGGAAAATAAGAATATTTTAAAAACGAAATAAATGCAACTAACCGTTGAATGGAAACAGATGCCTTAGATGTAGGATCTTCTGATATTCAGGGTTATAACATCAAAAATGATAATTAGAAAAGAATGAACATCCTTTAGTCATACTATCGTTCAACTTCTTGGCATTGACCAAAGCAACAATATTATTTTGAAAAAGTCAAACGTTTAAGAAATATTATAACTAGAAGGAAATTCGTCTGGATAAATAGAATTACTAATCATAATAACATAATACCATTAAGCAATGTCTAATTTTTAAGTAATCTCACTTTGTGTACAGAAACAGAAACTTACATGTCATTTGTTATATTTTATGGTCATCAGCCTTTCAATTTGTAAACTCATGTCTTCCTTCTTCCTCGTAACGGACAAACACTACACTAATGCCTAATACACCTTAATGTATCTTGATTTTTACTATGGTTAACTGTCCTAACTTTATATAAATGACTCGGTGATAAGAGTTAATCATAATTATTTTTCTCATTGTTAGCTGACTGTCAAGAGGTCCTGGCCCGGGTAAACTATATCTATCTTCTTAACCTAGTTATGAAAATTTCTCAGTCATTGTATATCTTTCCGACTAATTTCGTCTGATCTATCGGTAAACTTTGCTAATCTATCATTTCAATCGCATCTGTATTCATTGTATCTATTCTTACTTACTCTGGGAATACTATTGTCTGTTCATTGAAGTTTCCATTAAAATAAATTCTTAACTAAAAGTGTTTAGAATCTTAAGACACATTTAACAGTATCTAGTGAATTTAGTAGAACAGCTAAGCATACATATTGTTGCTTTCAAATTTACACCTCTCACTTCTACACATTCTTCTGCATTGATATAAATCTAGGTTAATTAAGCATCATAGTTTGGACAAGTAATCATAAATACTTTGTTATGTTGATACTTTTGAACAATATTATCATTCCTTAAAAGTGTGGTTACAAAGTTCACCAAATAAACTTCGTACAATAACATTATTTCATTTTACGCATTTGTGTGATAGTTATTATTATTATTTGTATTGTTATTGTTTCCAGTATTAAAACTTCCAAATGTAATTAGAAAATGAAAACAACTTCCTAATTAAAATATATCTTCATGACCTTTGATTTGTTTTTATTAGGACACATTAATGAATATCTTCTTTTCAAAAATAAAAGGTAGATATATATCAAGTTTTTATGGAACATTAAAAAATATTGAATGCTATAATTGAATTTATGAGTCAATCGAAGCTAGACAACCATGGAAAACTTAGAAGCATTGGATGACCGTTTCATCCAAGTATGGGACTGCTCTCATCAGTGCACATCGCCAACCCTCCCCGCAAGATTCAAACCCAGGACCTATCAGTCTCGCGCGCGAGAGAGTAACTCACTGATGACAATAGTGCATGTGTCGCTCAATTTCGTGGATTCATTGAAGTTAGACATCAACACCGTTAAATGTCGACCGGCTCAGTGGTCTTGAAGTTGGGCGTTCACGCGCGAGACCTTGGTTCGAATTGCGTTAGGCGGGATCGTGGTCATGCAATGCTGAAGAGTCCCCTACTAGGATGAGACGGCCGTCCAATGCTTCCACTCTCTGATTATAATATTAAATTTATATACAATAATAATAAGGATAGAAATGAAACATACTTTTATTTGTAATCTATGTAGAATATGTTCATAATCATTTTGATTCATTGAATTCTTAAAACGTGGATCAAGAAATGTTGAAATATAAAGAAATTCTTCTAATATATTATTCTCATTAAATATTGTTTTTAAATATGTTATTATAGTAGTATAAAACTGATTTGATAAATTATCATTTATTTTTTCAATATTTATTGAATATAAATTTTTTAATATTGGTAATATCATTGATACAGTAAAATGTGAATAATTGGTTTTACATAGTTTTTCAATCTCTTGTACGATCTATAAATGGATAAGAAAGAAAAAATCTATTTCAACACATGGATGAATATTTAGTAATTATAAGTAATATGTACTAATATTGTTAATATACAACTAATTACAAAGAACTGATAAACTAAAGGAAATTGTTCTGTAGAGAAGATTTGTAGCTCAGATTGATGATTTTGATGATTTTTTCTTGAGCTGGATGGTTTGGTTATGGAGCTTTCATCGTTCTTCTGAACGACATCATTAGCACAAACTTCAGGTTGAAGTGGAGTGTTCGAATATCTCCATATGTGATTTACAGATTTTCCTGTACACCTTGATTTTGATTGGTTCTTGTTGACCTCAAGGTCAAATCGGAACACTTCACTTCTACCTGAAGTTATTCACAAGAACGATGAAAACTCTATGACCAAACCATTTAGCTCAGAGAACAAAACTCCATCGAAAGTGTTCTGTATTTGGAGATGCCTCATATGAATAAATTGTAGGGACTGTTGAATAGAATAACTCAATTCATGATTCATGACATTTATTCTAAATGAATTCACGTATTTTAGAATACAAGTGAATATGAATATCTGGATTTCAGTAAATAATTAAAGTATTACACTAGGAGTATATTGAGTTCACTTAGCTTGACAAGTGTTCTCAATAAATCAAACTCTAGCTTTTATCTTACATGTTATTAAACCAGGTTCAAATGATACCTAGAAAAATGTTTATAGGTTTAGTTTCTAGTCAATGAAACTGTACAAAAGTTATAGAATGATGAAAGTCTCAAATTTTGTCAAAAAAAATTACCAAGGTAGTCCCTTAGACTTATGTAGAAAGTAATTTCAAAAGAACTAATAAATTGTTAGAATGGTAGTCAGTGGCTGAAAATTAGATATTAGTTTACTACAAGTCGAATTGTTTGATAACTGATAGCTGAAAATATGGAATGTATCACTTAGTAGTAAGAGACATAATTTAATATGTTAAATATATTATCAAAAGTTTACTAATTAAAAATGTCTTATATTCTCAGAACTTTGCAGTTCTGGTCAAACAAATATAAATATAAGCTGTTAGCAATAGTAGTAAGCATCTCTATCACTTATTTGGTTGTATTTGGGAGTCAACTTAATCAGTTTCTATGGAAATATCGATTTCGTAAACGGATGTCTTGGTGTAGGATTCAGTTGTAATTTTGGATTGTGATCAGCAGTAAGTGTTCAAGTCTCGTACTTTCTCCCATTCAGAATACATCAACTAGATATATCAGTGTTAATGCTTAAAATGATAAATATTAAATTAGAGGTTTAGCATGAATGTCAACACAGAGATTCAGATACATTCATCTGACAAATACGAATCAACACAAAATGCACTTCATAGACTGCATTGCTAGCTGCGATGAAAAAGTATATTAGTCTTTGAATCTATGGTGTTAGTTCATATGTTATAAATTAATTTTAAAGCATGGTTATTAACCGTAGTGACATATTTGATGAATCATAATTTATCGGTAATTAAAGTCGAAATCGGGCTATATTTTAATAAAGTACTCAGTCTTAAAAGCTTGTTGTGAACAACTTTTAAGCTTTGGTTCCCGCCACAAGTAAATCTTATCTAAATCAACCAGAACAAATGTGTTGTTGTTGAGTTCCAATACGAAGAATCCCAATATGAATACTGTGCAAGTCGTGAATCTTTCAACTTCTGAAATATTGAAACTCAACTAACTGAATAAGTTGGACAAGTATAATGTAGCAATCTATGACATAATTTTGTAAAACATTCTCACACTTCAATATCATTTATGATTTCATCCACCAAAATCCCAACTATTCAGGTTATGCAGTGTTTATCCAGTGTACACTCTTAAAATGCTGAATTCATGAAGCGAACTACTATGCTATATTGAGAATTGATTGGAATTAGAAATGGAAATCAATGGATCCCTATTTAATAGTTTGAATATATCATGCTTGTCAAAAAAATACGCGAGTCCTAATTCTGATTCAGTGTGCGGTTGTGAATGTCAGCTATTGAAAGCGAAATGTAAAGTAGGAAAGAACAGCCTTCCAAATTTTCATGGTTTTCAATGGTCTTTTGAATGGTATCTCAAAAGTTATATATTTTTATGTCAATAACATATGATATAATCTCTAAGTTAGTTTATTTTACATTTGAACATACTTCAATCGATTTAAAAATTCGGTTAATAAGGTTCATGTCTACGTCGGTGAAATGAGGTAATCGATCCATGTTAGGAATTATACGAGTGATTGAATCCAAAATATCTGATAAAGATTCATTTATACTGGTTTGATCATTCGATCGGCTTTTGAGATTTGATTCTGAAGATAAGTCCTCCACCTGTTGAACATTTTCATCAAGTGTTTGAAGTGATTTCTGGTAGTTTGTTAGAACTTCATTAATTTTTGGTACACATAATGCGCGCTATAATGATAATAATAACGGGGGACACAATAATGAAATATCAATTAAAATATTGAATTATTATATAACACAAATTGATAACGATTAAAGATTTGCGCAAACATCTATCACATACCGAATCATTTTTATATGCTTGTCATATTTGCCCGAAAATTTATTTTGTATTTCGCCATAAATCCTACTAAATGTAATTACATCATTACATAAATACATTTCAAACAGATTAAGATAATAGTTGCGTAATTGTAGTTTGTATCTTAAATAAATTTCACTCCACTACTAAAAATTAAAGAAAATTTTTCTAGATAACGGAAGTAAACAGTAGCGTCATGAAAGAAGAAGAATCAAAGACACTTCAAAAAGGAAAAAATTCCTTTTATTTTTTTCGTTGATTTTTATAAAGCTCAAAGGATTTTCAATCAAGTTAATTCAGTCGATAATACTAGTTCATCATATTATCAAGTATTCAGTTCAAAGTACAGAAATGTTAACGATATTTATGGACACATTAATATAAACGTATCAGTGTATTTGAATAAATCAGAGAGGGGTTTTGTGGAGACTGTAGTAATTTAATAATTAAATTCATGAATCAATTGAGGCTGTCAGGTTTTCCATGGTAGTCCAGCTTCAACTGAATCATAGATTCAATCCATAAATTACTACAATCTCCACAAAACCCCTCTCTGATTATAATCATCATACGCACACTGGTGATTGTCCCCAAGAGCTATTTCCTGGAGTTCTAGTGAGAAGCAGTGACCAGTTCAGCTGGGTCTGTTGTGAGATAGTAACTCAATAATATCAGTGGTGGATGGTGGTGCAATTTCGTGGATTGATTGAAGTTAGACATCAACACCGTTGAATGCCAACCGACTCAGTGGTCTAAAAGTGAAGAGTTCACGCGCGAGACTGACAGGTCCTTGGTTCGAATCTCGCGAGGCGGAATCGTGGATGTGCACTGACGAGAGACGTCGCATATTAAGATGAGACGGCCGTCCAGTGCTTCCACGTTTTCCATTGTGGTCTAACATCAATTGACTCATGAATACAATTATTAAACTAAATAAATGTTTAAATCAAATTAAGTTAAGTTTCTGGAGAAGAACTGTTTCAACTTGTGAAACTATCTTACATGTAGCTTCCACTCAAAGCAAGATTTTCGTGTGTGTTTTTGTTTTTGTACAGTAAGTCGAAATGTCCAAGATAGTAAAAACTTTTCAATTATGTGATAATATTCTGAAGATATTACTAAAATCTCAATGGTTATTTTGTAGATAAATTCTGATAGCATGATCATGTCATTACAATATTGTGTCAACTCAATAATTAATCAAAAGTTCCATACCTAATTAGAGATGTAGTTCACTAGTTTTTTTTTTTTTTGATCATAGAATAAGTAAAAACTGTCAATTATCAACAATAATATATTTGTTTTAATGTCCTACGTTTACAAAATATGAAAAATATAGCTATAAATCTGAGTATTGTTAGTAGATTACAATTACTGTTGATTTAGGTTGCTCGTAGATCTCCTGACAAATACATTTCGCTGGATGATTCCTTTAATAGATTTTTCTTTTCAGAAGAGAATAGTTGACCATTCATGATGAATTTTCTTTATTTATATTAATGTGCTTTCAGTGCAAAAGCTCAGCCTGTAGCTCTTCTAGAGTTATTGCCTGTCCAAATCCCGGAAAAAAGGAGGAGGATTGGGCATTGGGTTAGCGACCTCATCTCGTAGAAAACTAACTCGCTAAAGAAAAACTCTAAACGCTAACTTTCAGTGTAAAATCATAATCTTATGTTGTTTTGATATTAGTGCTCTAAAATATGCACATCATAACCCTTAAAGATATATTGCCACATTAAATAAATGATTCTGAACTTCTAGGAACTGAGCATCTCAAACGCAAAAATGTTTATCTGCCAAATATAGTACATTTTTTAAGATGTTACTATTAGTCAAGTCTATAAATTGTATTGATAGATGACCTGTTCAACATTGGAATTTCAATTTCAAAGCCTAAGTATAAATCTAGATTAAGGAGGATTTAAAATATTTACTAATGAGATTTTAAATATCATAAAAACACGTTAATAAAGTCTCAATATAGAATATACATTTAGAAGTGCTTTACAACTTTAATATAACAACCTCCATTCACCTTGAAAATGATTAAGATGATCTAGTCAAAACTATTCTAAAGCTCATTTAAATCAGCCGACGTGAAGCAATCTTTCACAATAATATATCGTGTTAACAATAGTCTACCTAATTCAGTTTAACTGAGAATCCTGTAGACGGCTGAAACAATTGCTATTCAGATAAAAATAAGCCAGAGCTTTGTACCCAAAGAAATATGTTCAGCCGCTCCTTTAACCCTGGCTAACTTGAGGCCCAACTAGTCAATAATCAGTTTCATGATGTGGTGACGTTCATTTATATATATATTACCTGTACAGCATTCTTCATGTAAACATTGAAATATGGTAATATAAGATAATTAGAAATTGGACAAGATTCTTTGAATGCATTTAAAGTATATTCTAAACAATTAGTCAATATAATAATAGGCCATTCAGATAAAATATAATCGTAGTTTGTTTTGAATTGTGAATAAATCAAATTCCAACAAGGTTTTAAGATTTCATTTAATGTCTGTATTTTATTTATCTAAAATCAGAGAGAAAAAAAGTGTTGATGAATTATTGACACGTTGTGATTTTGATAATATTTCAATTTTAGAAAAACCTACGTTCGAATGGTTTGTACAAATGACTTGTGTCTATAAAATTTGTAATTGACTTTTATAATTTTGTATTGGTAGTCGTAGTGATTTATTTGAATCGAAATTTCTACATATAAAATCAATTATCTCCACAACGCTATACTGATAATTATCATGTGCTCATTAATGACGGGCTTGAACATGAGTTTCCTGAAGTTCTAATGAGAAGCCGTGATCAGCGGAGTTTAACCGTGTCTGTTATGAGATGGTTACTCGCTAAAGACAATGGTGAACGGTCGCGGAATATTGTGAATTGGTTGAAGTTGGACATTACCACTGCTGGATGCCGGGTAAGTAGTCTATGGGTTAAGCGTCCGCCCATGAGATCAAAGGTCTTGTGTTCAAACCCCGCATTCGGGATAGTAGATGCTCATTGCTAAGGAGTCCCATACTAGGATGAAACAGCCGTCCAGTGTTTCCAGGCTTCAAACAGTTGTCTAACATTGATCCTTTCATAATATCAATCTAAACTCAACAATCTGCACAACCCTATACTGACATATAAACTAATTAAAGTTTTATAGATTTTACTTAAACTAATCAATAGTTATTAACATTGTAATCTATATATTATGTTCTTGTAGTTAATTGGAGTGACTACTTTTATTTCCTTAATCAGGCATTGGTGAATACTGATTTTTAGCTTTATTTTATGAAACTTGGAACGTGATCACTAATATAAAATAGCTCAACCTTTCAGTTCATTACATTTAGTATTCAAAAGAATAGTTAAAAATAATCATCTTTAATGCCTTGATCTATACTTAATGCCATTTTGCACCTATAAATAAAATATATCCATAATCTTGAACTAATCGATGATTTTCGTGACAATCAAACTCATATCATACAGAATCCTGATTACTATATGTAATAAATTTAGTGGATTGGTTAAAGTTAGACATTAACACTGTTGGATGCCAGCCAGCTCAGTGGTCTAAAGGTTAAGCATTCGCTTGAGACCAAAGATCCAGTGTTCGTGTCTCATGTTCAGCTTAGTGGATGTGCACTACTGAGGAGTTCCAGACTAAAACGAAACATCGTCCAATGCTTCCAAGTTTTCCATAATTGTCTAGGTTCAATTGATTGATAATTTCAACTATTCAAATAAATTAAGTATCAACAGAAAAGAAAACAAAAACATCTATGAAAAATTATTCTTACCTCATAAGTACCATAGAAAATATGATTACATTTAGGAATATATTGAGAATTTATAAAGAAATTTAATTCAATATCAACATATTCAAAGAATAAATTATCATTATTAAATTGATTCTTGTTCACTGAATTCAATGACCAATATTTTAATGATATAGTGATTTGTGGTAAAATCAATAATTGATTTTCTATTGATTGTTGTAAAATCATTAATTTTTTTATTTTATTATCAATATTAAATTTTAATTGATTATATAGATTATTTAATATTTGATTTTCCATTAATTTTGATGATGGTAAAAAATTAAATTGAATATTATAATTTATATCATTATTGATTCTTTGAAATTTATTCCATAATATTCCAATTAATATCTATGAAATATGAAATAAATGTAAAGGATGTTTTTTCTTTTTAAATAATTTAAGAATAAAATTTATTACTGATTAATTTGATTAAGTAATATCTTTTAAGTAGTTTCTAACATTTAATTTAATGGTTTATAATTTAAATTTTATAATTTTATATATGAAAAGAAGTTTAGTTTCATTTGTAAGATTAAGATTTCGATCAGAAGGGGTTTTGTGCAGATTTGAATAATTCAAATCGTTGAAATCATAATTCAATTGAAGCTAGATCATCATGGAAAACTTGGAAGCACTAGACGGTTGTTTTGTTCTGAGCCGGCATCCAACGGTGTTCACCAATTCGTTTGAGTAAATGAACTAGATTAGGTCAGTGATCTAATGGTTATGCGATCTCATGAGAGACTAACGGGTCTTGGGTTCGAATCTCGCCGTGGGGTGGAACCTTGGATGCACACTGCTGAGGAGTCCAATGCTAGGACGAAAGGGCCGTCCAATGCTTCCAGGTTTTTCATAGTGGTCTAGCTTCAGTTGACCCATGAGTTCAACTATTGAAAGAATAAGATTTGTTTTCTTTATATAATTATATAAATGGAAATTTAAGAAATGCATATGATTATTTACTATCACTTATCATCATTGAAAAGTATATTTGAAAATTTTAATCCTTGATAAATTTATTTATTCAGTATATCAATACTATTTATATATATTTTACTGAAACATATTCAAGAGGTTTAAAAAATGATCATATTCACCATCATGATAGAAAAAGAAACTTCTCACAAGTACTGTTTAGCTTAATTATCGAAAGGACAGTAAAATGTGTACATCCTCAAAGTATTCAACTCTTTTCATAATTTCTATGCAGAAAAATCATACATCATTAGGTTGAAATTTTAAATTAAAACATGATTAACATATTTAAAAGTACATTTGAAAGAAAAATCTTGTAAAGTTAACCCATGGGTAAACTCGAAAAAAGCTCTAAGAAGCTCAGAAAGAGCTGAAGATATTTTATCTAATCATCTTTCGGAAGAATATTCCAAAAATTTTACGTGTAGCTTCCCTATTGGACAAATGCTAAAAAACCCCTGTATGCTGATTGGATGATTATAATGATGATTTCGCTTTTACTATAAACGATAAATACATGAGAGATTTTTCACCATATTTGACACTGTTTGGAATAGCATTCCTTTCATTTGTCATCTACCTTCTCATTTGCGACGTTGAGGGTTTTGGCATTCGAGTGTTTAAGTTGTACGCGATATATCAAGAATCTGACATGACGTATAACAATTTTTAAAATAATCAAAAGACTAGTTTATAAAATAGTCTGTACCATAATTGGTACATTAAATATAATTTAATGTTTGTAGTAGATGTATTTCTGTGATCTGACTGAAGGTTAACACTATTGATCTAGGCAACGACAAAAAAGGAGAAACAAACTTCAAATTTACTTAGTGTTCTTAATAAAGCTATGATAACTATTAAACTTAGTTTGATACTTCATGTTAGTAGAGTATGAATGATACTATTTGAAATGAATCTCCAAACATATTTACTCATGTGGTTTGATAAAAATCTATTCTAAGTTTTATTTCATCAAGCACAAAATATATTAGCTGAAGTTAAATTTATATATCTTCAATATTGTATATACATATACATGTTTACTGTATATTATTACTTACAAATGAATCATTTTCATTATTTAAGTTAATGTTATGGAAATTGGCATAATAATCGAATGCTATTATTAGAAAACGATTTATTATCATGATAATAGTCTACTATACTGGATATATATATATATATAGTTTTCGAGCAACTCATTTCACATTAATCATACATGTCATTTCATTAGTCTTTATTATTAGGAAAGAGATAATGACTATTTGTTATCAATAGGGAAAATTGGAATTGATTAGAAAAACCACAATAAGCTAATGAAATCTAATGTGACCTAATGAAATGAGAGAAAATAAAATTAAAAAAATGCCTAATTCTTTTTTTATTTTTTATTTTGTTGGACATTGATTTACTCGATGAAATTAAATAAAACATTTTTAGCAAAGAAACAGTTTTAGGACATAGTTGAACATGTATATTGTATTAGATGATGAGGAAGGTTCGACGTGTATGATTAAAAAACAGTAACATTATTATATAATAAAAAACATGGTTATGAACGGTTATCATTTCTAACTTAAGTATAAATTAGATATTATGCATAATTGAGTGTATCCTTATGAAATTGTTTGGTTTAGTTGTGTAATAGGCAAATATTTGTTTTCTAAATTAAACATTCAACCTGGTTTCCAAATAAGTTTCTTTTTATCTTAAGTTATGTTATATATGCAGAAGGAAAGAAAAACGTATAGAGAGTGAATGGTAGATTATGATTTGTAATGGTATTATTTATATTCCAAAATATCTTGCATATATTCATTCTGATCATTATATAGTTTATTTGTAGGTTTATTTATGAATTTGACTGTAAAAAATCAGCTTAAGGAAATCTACTTTGATTTTATTAAGTGTTCTAAATCTGGACAACAAGATTTTTATAACTCCAGTGGTACATAACATTTTTCTCAAAATATTTCTTAATAATAGAAAGGACTAATATCATGAGATGGTGGAGAAGATTTATAGCTCAGTTGGATGATTTTGATGGACTTTCGTTCTCTGTGCTGGATGATTTGATCATGGAGCTTTCATCGTTCTTCTGAACGATATCATCAGCACAAACTTCAGGTTGAAGTGATGAGTTCAAATTTCTTCACATTATCGTTCACAGCTTGTCCTGTACACCTCGATGTTCAGTAAGGACCTCGATGAACAAGAGCTAACCAATATCGAGGTGTACAGGACAAGCTGTGAACGACATGTGAAGAAATTTGAACTCTTCACTTCAACCTGAAGTTTGTGCTGATGATATCGTTCAGAAGAACGATGAAAGCTCCACGACCAAAGGACTAAGATCATTAATACTAATTTTGCTCAATCGAACAACTGATGTTGTCTAGTGCATTTTTTGACTCTTTATAAGTTTTCGTTTACTTCTTTAATAATATCAAGGATTCATATAATGAAGTCTGAATTGGTTCTGACATTTTTAACCGAGACAAGGCTTCATAATTCTGTTAAGCAATAGTTTTACAGATAAAACTTCTTGGGAATTCATTTCAAAGATTAGGAGTTCAGCTATCAAGGTTATGAACGCTTTTATGCACCTGTTTAACAATAATGTTAATTCATTAAATCCAAAGCGTAATATAATTAATAATGTTGTACACCTATGATGCTTTTTGGATATACAAAAATATCTTGAATTATATATCTCTGTTCCAGTTTACATCTTGAAGAATGCTTTAAATTAATGAATATTTAGCTCATTTTTGTATCGTTTGTCTGACACTTCTCACTGATGTTTAGGATTACAATTGATCAGTTTCTTATTGTCATATGTGCATCCTGTGCCGATTGCCTTGATATTGCCTTCAGTCACAAGCATTATAAACAAAGATGGGTGGTGACTAGCAGTGGAATTCAGGATGCACGTCTCGTCCCATTTGGGACTCGTCAGTTGGGTGTACCTGCATTCTAGAGTTGTTCACTTCAGGACTTGAATGCAGTACTGTTCTCTTCAAACGTCATCACGTTATCTACTTAGCTACTGAGTCCAGATAACCACCAGCTCATGCAAAGGGGTGATTCAAACAATCAATACAAAAATGAACTAGAACTTCACCACCAGTTTGAAACTGTAATTAATAAACTTCAACTATTTTGAGTTCAAGTCATTTACCTACGAAAAGCAATAGAGAAGAATCAAACAAAATCGTTAACTGATTGAAGTAAAACATTTTGACCTAGTGGTCTATGGGTTTGTCATTTTCCGAAGGTTCTTGGTTCGATTCTTATCCGGAGTTGTGAAGGTAAACTGCTGAAGAATATCATAATAAGACAAACAGCAGCCAATTAACTCCTGGTTTTTGATGGTTGACTAAGTAAAGTTAGTCTGTAGTATAAACTATGGAAAAGAAATAGACGTCAGCTATTGAGTATTCATTATTTGTAAAATAAATTTAGAATCAACAGCTTTTTTTTCTATTTTAGCACTCATTCAAGTGATTACATACGAAAAGTTTGGTAATTATATTTAATTAAATTGTAAATAAACGTTATTTTTATTTCTAATAGTTAATGGAGTTCAGAGATCTTTTTCAACTAGTTCGTTTCACACTGTATTCTCTTTCATTGTAAAATTTACAAGCAAATGTATGAAACAATAAAGCTTCAAATAAGTGTCTATAACTTCGTTATAGCATATTATATTAGTGTTTAATATAAAAACTTAGAGTGTTATCATAGGGATAAACTATTGGATTGCTTAATAATAATAATAATAATAATAATAATAGTAATAATAATAATATTAACTGAAGAAAGATTTTAGTATGAAATTAAAACTATTGGTTGAATATGTATATATATTACTGACATACCATCAGCTCCGATAATAACAGGGAACAAATTTTAAGAAGGAAGAATTAGATATTTTCTTTCATACTTTACTTTGATTTATAAACGGGCCTTAAACTTTACACACATTTGTAATAACAGTACTAAATATTACCAACAGAAATTATATAAAAGAATCAATAAATTATACTAAATTAAAATGGATGTATAAATAAGAAATAAAAAAAGACAGAATTGATTATTAAAGGTGTAGGTAAAGAAAAGATTTATATTGAACTAGTGTCATAATGTTTCAGTTTTTCAAAATGGATGAAGATATAGATAGATAATGATGAAGAAGAAGAAGAAAGGTAATCTACTCTTAATGTTCACATGAAACCTTTATAACTAATTTCATTTTCTTACTTAATTACTCTTCATCAAAATAGACTCATTAAATCATCAAGGTCAAAAGAAAATTTCCATTTATTTCTTATTCATACATAAATAACTGCGCTTAAAAATCTATAAACAACATATATATACCCTGGACAAGATTCAAGAAAGGAAGAATAAGAAGACAGTAATTAATAACAGCCGAACAAGAGCAGAGAAAGTTAAGACATAAGCTGAATGCACAGGAGCAATCAGGAGAGTGGAGAGGAGCATTGGAGTCGATAAACAGAAATATGCGGGAGATCTAGCAATGACAGTAGAAAAACTGAAGAAAAAAAGGAAATATCAAACAACCATATGACAAAACGAAGAAACTGGCAGGGAAATATAATAGACCAGAGAGACCGGTCAAAAGCATAAAAAGTAAACCAGTCATTGAGATTCAAGAACAGAGGAACAGATAGGTAGAATACTTCGGAGAACTCTTGAATAAACCAGCTCCATTACCACTGTGCTATTTGGTTAGCATTAAGGGACTAAAGAGATATGACATTAGTCACTACTCAATAACCAATCAGTTCCAAATGTCTCAGCCCTACGGGAGATTAGCCGCGACCAGAACAGTCAGGTGGTAATGTCTCAGATTATGAAAATGAATTACGCCGGATTAAATTCAATAGGGACCACTAGTTCTAACAAAATTGCAGGTATATCCTCATGACGAGTATTAAACAGCACGAAACCTGAGTTCGGGATATCCTGAAAACCGCCTCCAATCGCGTAGCACTTCAACACGGTGCATCCCATATCGAGTCACTCAGATTAGTGATCACATTATAATGTGATCAACAAAGTTCGGTCTGCATTAAAGGACTAGACAGACAAGACATCGAGCAGTATTCAGTGGTCAGTCAACTGCAAGCACGCAGATATGTTTCACAGTAACATATTTTTAATCAATGAACATTAATGGGTGCTAAAATTATAAACATATGATTCATTAAGACCTTGCTATTCTATCATAAAGTAGATATCAATCGTTGATATAAAATTGTATATCCCTCCAACAAATGTTTTTTATTCGACTTTCATCAATGAGTGACTGACATTTATAACTAATGTACTTACAGCCGTCAAGTTTATGGCCCTACTCATTTTTTGCATCGACTCAGTTCTATTTGTAGTTGCTTCAATAACAAGTATTTCTTAGATACTCTATTATATTTGACCTAGACGGTCTAAAAATCACAATAAATTAGTCTTATTTTACTTCATCTAATCAGTGTGAATGAGAAGAATTTTCCCCTTTCTATTCCAACTAAGTTTACAATTAAAATGGGGAATGAAAAATGCTTGTTAGCATAATCAGCAGGTTAATATAAATCATGAGTTTTGGACAGATGTGTATTTATACAAAAATAATTTTAATATATATATACAATATCACAAAAATACTGTCAAAATAAAGTTTCATTCTTGTGCTTTACCTTGAATCCTTCTTCCTCCAGTATTCTTGGTGGATGAAAATCACGTATTAAAAAGTAAGCTAGACGATAATGAAATTCCTCACATGATGGAGAAAAGCAAGAAAGTGGATAGTTATTGATAAAGTAAGGAGATGAAGAAGGAATTGATTCATCGGTTTTCTGATTCAGTAGTTGAAATTCTTCTACACCTTGATGTTGATTAGTTGATTCATTATCCTCTGAAATTACCGAAGATGATTTGAAGTACCCAGTATTATCACTAATCGGATCAGTATTGATTTCCTAGTTTGTTTAGAAAAAGAATATTCTTATTGTTTTGTTTGAAATTCTGAACAAAAAACTAAAATAAATCAATTTAAGTAACTTTAAAATAGATTTTCGGAAAATAGTTTGAGTTGCAAAATGAACTACTCAAAACCTATAATAATTCTCATGATACTAAACGACAGAAAACTATACTTGAAATTAGCTTAAGCTTGTAAATAACTACTGAAATCAAACTGAGCAATTTAAAAATATTATTAAATCTTTTCATTATAAAGTGGAATTATAGAAGCATAGTGTTAAAGTATATTAACATGCATTAAAAAATCTGTTTTGAGCGTAAAAAGCTCAGAAGATTATTGACGAAACGGCACTCCAGTGCTTCCAGACTTTCAATGATGGTCTAACATTGATCGATTCATGACTTCAATCAAAAATAGCTCATTTTAATTTTCAATAGATGACAAATTGAAGTCAATTTATTAATTAATGATTGAATGTATATTCAATCATTAATTGATAAATATACTATTATATATAGTTAATGTTTGGATCCATATAGTTGATTCTTAACTTCTTATTAAGAAATCAATTTACATTATTTAGTACAATCTGTTTACTGATATAACAGCCGAAACCAACAAAAAAAAACATCTTAAAATATATTACTCATTTTCAAGATATCTCAATAAATATGGTGTGAGTTTTGACCTATATTCAAAAAACAAGGGTGAAATCATTAGATTAATTAACTAGATGAATGAATGAAAGTAGTACACATTACCTAACCGTATGATAACTAACACAATTCTATAACAAAGAAAATGTAATCATAAATAGAGCATGAAAATAATTTCTTATTTTTCTTTATCAAGTTAAATATGAATGACTGGTCATTCAGTTACATTCACTTACATTTTAGATACAACTACTTTGATAAATTAATTCAGTTGTTCAATGCTTTCATGGTAGTCTAACTGCAATTGACTGATGATCTCAACTATCGTAATTCTTATTTAATATACTTCGTGTTCATTTTTCTTATATTATTAATTGTTTTATATTAATGAATAGTAACTAATGATTCGACTAGTACAAATAGTTCGGTCATGGCTTAGAAGAACTAACAAATGAATGTGTAAAAGTTAGTTGTTGTTGTGTTTTTTTTGCAGATTATCTGTATAATTAGTTGTCATGATAGAAATTTATCGGTTTATTCATACTAACTAGTAAAATTTATTTGTTGTCTAATCTAAGTTGATTAGTATCAACTAACTCTACCGGAAGTTAGATGAGTTAGAGAATAATTTGTTTTAAGTATTCAATGAGATAATCATCTTTTTTCTTTTATTGTAAAATTAACTTATCTAAGATGAAACTGATTAGGTGATAGTAAACTTTAAAGCAAATAAAAAAGGTAATGTCTTGAATTTAAAAACGGTTAATGATTAGTATTTTACACTATAGTAATCAAATTACAATTATCACTTGAATATCCTAGAGCCTGTGACAAATTGGATGAAGTGTATAGAAGTTATAAAAGAAAGTTAATAATAACATATAGTTGCACTCATTATTACTAATAACATTCTTGAACTTAATCAAGTGTTGGAAGATATATAAATTAGGAATGATTGTTTCTTTTATCTATTCAATTGTTCAGAAATCATTCTAATAAATCATAAAAATTAAGATATTTCTTTTTATATCGTCTCTTTGAAGTATGTGGTGATGTTGTTCAGAAAAACGATGAAAGCTTGATAATTCATCCATCCAGTTCAGAGTCCGCAACAACTCCAATATAACCACATCTCTTCAACATTGCATATACATTTTTTGGATGAGTGTCAACTAATACAAGCTCCAATTCCAATGAATCCTATCGTTCATCTACAAATACCTGACTTTGTATTGCTGAACTTTTGGTCCGTTAACTAACAAAAACAAAAGACTTGGTAAGAAAACTCAGAAAATAGTTGTTTCCTCGTGGTAATAATGAATCTATTTAGTGTTTTTACAAACACCACAATTATTTTGGAGTAATAGTTTCTGAACTACAGAAAATGAGATATTTCAGTTATATAAAAGAACAATCAGAAAGACTAAACGGTGAAAAATGCTAGGTTTTGGATCCATTGGTATTCGTCAACATGATAAGTCATAAACTTCAAATAAACTCATGTTTTTAAAAATAAGGTATACTAGAACTCATGTAATTCAAAACATATTCAAGGAATTTATCATTGATTTGTTTAAAGTGCCTTTTTTCTTGAGTTAGGTCATGAGTAACTGTATAAGGACACCAAGGTTATTAGTTTTCATAGATCGTTAAATCTTATCGATTGTCTAAATTTACCTTATGCAAAAAATAATCCGGTACTATATGAAGTTAATGGTCTATGTACTGTTGATTAATCAAACTAAATCAGCACTAACAAATATATAGAATATTGTTTGTCAATTTCAAGTGACCAGTGTGTATAATCGGATATGGGATTAAGTTATGAAAACTAGGTCTGTTTAACGTGCATTACTTCCATTAAGTAAATTTATCTCATCCAAGTACATAGTAGCTAGTTATGTTTGTTATGCATTTGATTTTGCTGATATAAATGGCATTCTTTCATTTCCTAAAAGGGACAACTTACTTATCAACATTTCTCACAATTTGCATGAAGCCCTTTCTATAAATAATTTAAGATACTTAAGATACCACATAATTGCAATATTCAAATCAATGAAATATTGATAAATTGATGACTATGTAATAAATCTCATAGTGGCTGAGATTAAAGTGAATTTGTGTCAAACGTATCCTTATTTAAGCTTCCTTTGAATTTATTCGCTCAGTATACTGGAATCACTATGTTAAATTAAGTTAAACTTATACTATAACATGAATACTCAAAGAGTCAAACGCCTAAATGGTCCATTGACATTCTGATCAGTAATGATAACCAATAATTCCTACAAGTAATTTATCGTCATCATTTACTTAATTCTTTAGCCTCGATATAAAAATAGAGAAAATTGTTGTCCATTTATCATTTGTAAATTTTCAATGATTGTTCGAATAAAATTACTGTATTATGAAACGTTTAGTCAAATCCCTATGTAATCTAGATAAATATAGTTCGTTATAGTTATGCATCTAAATTCTTCATATTTATCTAAAGGTAACATTAAAATCAGTTCACGATTAAAACTATAAAAATTCTATAATCCCTCTACACTAATGATAATCATCTACCCACTAGTGATTAACTTTAAGATGCAACTCTTTGAGTTTTAGTGTGAAGCTATAATTAATGGTGTTCAACCATTATCGTGTGAGACAGTTATTCACAGCAGCCAATAGATGGTCCAATAATAACGTGAGTTAGCTTAAGTGAAACACGAACGCCTTCAGATGACGGTTTACTGCTTAAGAGATTAAATGTTCACACGAGAGATAGAAAGTTCGATTCCTAATTGCAGGGATGTAGATGTGCACTTCTGAAGAGTCACATATTATAACAAAATGGTCGTCTAATGCTTCCATGCTTTTATTGTTAGTCTAATTAAAATCATTTCATGATTTAAACTATAAAAATCTTACAATCTCACCAAATACCCCTATATTCATTTACGATGTTTAATTCCAATGAATTATATCGTCATACATTATTGAAATAGTGTATTATATGTATATTTTCAATTCACAAAGATTATGAGGTATTTAAAATATTGACCTATCCATATGAACTACTTAGTTAAATTGTTATGTTTTTATTACATAAATGTAAAATAATTTACATTCTTATCTACCTAGTAAACAAACTGGCATATTGAGAAATAGAATTACATTTAATTCGTTAAATATCTTCTGCCTAATTAATTACCTTAATGGTTTATGGTCAGTCATCAACATTCTAAATATTAATCTGACAATTTGTTCACTTTTTTTATATTCACAATGAAATAAATTATGAAATGATATTGTTTTTAAAGTTCAGCTTCAGTCAATATGTAGAAAAGAATTTCATAATACTCTTGGAGTCAGAAATGATCGGATTCATTTTGAATTATAAGCAAATATTGGTGAGACTATAATTTATGGACGTCCTTTTTGGGATACCGAAGTGACCTTGAGAGTGTCTGCCTATTCAATAAGGTTAAATGAAGGTTATAAAGCATTTTTAAGAATAAAGATAATGATTTGCAGTTGATGGTAAGAGTTAGGACTTAGATTTATGGTTTTTTATCATGAACTGACATCAGATAAAATGCCAAAACGCTATTTGGACGAATGAGTGAGTGAATTTCGTACCAAAATCCAAAACCTGTTATCCTAAATCTGATTGATTCGTCTATAAATTATAGTCTCTCCCAAAAATTTGATAGTACACATTCTACGATCGTATTCTCTAGTATGTATTTCCGTGTGAACGTATCCTAATTGAGTTGCTCAATCAATTACTTATAACTATCAATCAGCTTATAATAGAATGTATCATGACGTGTCAAGTAACTAACTCTCATATTAGGTGGAATAGGTTCGAATCCCATTAAATATATAACGACTCAGTATCATAGATACATCTTAGTGACGACTGCTAACTAGCATAAAACCTAAATTCATGACATACTATCAATCACTTTCATCTATATAAAATCGGATAGATAACATACTGACTACATGATTCTTATTTTAAAAAACCACTTCAAATTTTAATTGAAAGAACACAATTCATAATTTAGCTAAAAAAAATTTTATCCACCAACATATTCACTTTTATATACAAATGAAAAAAAATAAAAATAAAAAAGAAATTTCACAATGATGAAATAATGTTCAAATTAATAACAGAATACACTTGCATTATGTATTGTATTTGTACTTGTACAATTTTTTCGAATTTCTACATTTTCATTCTTCATTATTAAATGATTTAACGATTGTTTTGGTGATTTTGATAATGATTCTTTAAAATTTGTAACTTTTGTAAAAGCTGAATTATAATTCCAGTCTTCATTACTATTACTATTATTATTATTATCATTACCATTAATATTGTCATTATTATCAGTACTGTTCATAAATATTGGAGAATGATTATTATTATTGTTATTATTATAAGATTTTAAATATAAAATATTTTCTAATTTTTCTTGTTCAATTTTTGTTTATATGTAGATAAACTTAAATCAAGCGGTTCATTTGTATCGATGAATAATGATTGATAAGATTTAATTGAGAAATCTGTTATAGGTAATGAATTGATATTTAAATTATTCAATTGTAATTCATTATTATGAATAAAATTTTGTTGTTTTAATGTATCATTTAAATAATTATTAAATATTGATTGATTAAAATTTTCATTATTATTATTAATCAATAATTGTTGATTAATATGTTTATAATATTCATTTATATATAAATTAGTTAATTTTGTCAAATTCAATTGTATATTTGATATAGGATTTATTGAATTAAATAATTCATTCAATAATTCATTAGATAAATTTGAAGTTTGTATATTATGATGATGATGATTGTTTAAATTAGATGAAGATATTATTGGTTGATTAATAGTACTATCATTGGAATTTAATAATTCATTATTTATTAATGGTAATGTAGTATTATATAATTGTGTATTATTTAATGTAGTAAACATATTTGGTATTGACCATAAGAAATTGGATGAATTTGTACACTGAATAAAAAGTAAATAATAATTTGACAGATAATTCCCATTTAAACATTAAAATTAAAAAACGAAGTTCAGTGCAGGGATCTCTTTTCAACGAATTTATTATCAAGCTGTACAATCGTATATATATATATATATATATATATATATATATATATATATATACATGAATTTTTTTTGTTTTTTTTGTAAAAGTACTAATTCCGTGAGGAAATGTGAACACAGTTAACCATGACGTAATAAAAGAGGTTATAATACTAGATTACGTAATACGAATAATAACAATAGATTTAGTGAATATAATATAGTACTTTTACATAAACAAAATTTTCATATATATACGATTGTACAGCTTGATAATAAATTCGTTGAAAAAAGATCCCTTCGCTGAACTTCGTGTTTTAAAATAATAATTAATTAGATTAATATGATATTGAGGATTTACTGTAAATGAATACAATAAGAATATGATTTGAATTGAATTTGTTTGATTTTTAACTATGATCATTCAATGCTTCCACATTTTCCATGATTGTCTAGCTTCAATTAACTTATGAATTCAATTAATAAATTACTACAATCTCCACAAAACCTCTCTCTGATTATAATCATCATATGCTCACTAGTGATGGTTTCCAAGAGATATTTCCTGAAGTTCTAGTGAGAAGCAGTGACTAGTCGATTTCAACCAGGTCTATTGTGAGATAGTAACTCACTGAAGACAGTGGTGGACGTGTCGTTCAATTTCGTGTATTAGTTGAAGTTAGGCATTGGTGGTGTAGAGGTTAAGCGCTCGCGCGTGAGACTGTTATGTCCTGTGTTTGAATCTCACGAGGCGAGATAGTGAATGGGCACTGCTGAGGAGTCCCATACTACGATGAAACGGCCATCCAATGCTTCCAAGTTTTCCATTGTGGTCTAGCTTCAATTGACTCATGATCTCAACTATTGAAATTAACTACAATAGTTTAATAAATATTATTCATGAAGTTGGAAGATTTGTGTACATTGTTGAATTTTTCAATTTATATCATGAAATGACCATGGTTAGACAACTATTTATTTCTAGTACGGAACTCTTCAGTGGGGTGATACCATGATATAAGCTTTATAACCTAGAAATGTACACAAACTCTATACTTATATAATTTTCTTATCAGTGACTAATTTCAGGAGATGATACCTGGGGCTTCCAATGGGAGCTATATCCAATGTGATTCAATTATGTAGAATGCAAGAAATTTACCCACTGAAATAAAACAAACTAATTCGCCAAATCGCGAATAAATTGAATTAATTAGACTCTTGCCGTGAGATTTGAAAACCCTTATTTCTGTCCTCGGTTGAGTTATTGGTACATACTCCTGAAAAAACTTAGACAACGAAAAGACATCAGTCTAATACTTTCTGGTTTACAATGATTATTCACCCATGGTTAATTCACTACGTAAATTCTAAAAATGTCACCTATTTTTCTTAAAATATAACAGTTTTCAAAAAGCTATGATGGTTGGTAACGATGTCTGGAAAGAGAATGCAAAACACTATTATTTGTAATCTACATACCTAATCAAGTGTTTGTACACACTACTTAAATCATTTTAGGGGCGATTTTAAAGATCGTGCTGATAATAATTTAATTATGATAGAATACATTTAATCAATGCAGACAATTATAAAGAGTTTCACAAACAATGATCATTTAGTTTTGCACAGTTTGATGCTTTATGGTACATTAAAAAAAAACTAAAACTCAAATCTCGCGAGGCACGATCGTAGATGAGCATTACTGAGAAGTCCTATACAGGGATGAAACGGCCATCAAGTGCTGCCAGGTTTTCCATGGTGGTCTAGCTTCAATTGACTCATGAATTCAAGTATTAAAATTACTATAATATCCACAAAACCCCTCTTGGGTTAAAACTCATGTTCATAACATTCTAAGAACTCTTGCATTGATTAGCATTTTAGCATTATCCTATGCATAATTGTATCTTTCTTGAAGATGAACATGTCTCTAAACCGAAACCAAAATATGTTTGTGTTGATTACTAGTTTATAGAATATTTAATGAAATGCAATTCAACTCAAGTCTAAACTGAACCTCACATTATAAATAAAGATAAACTTTTTTTCCTCTATATGACATACATGATACATTCCAACAATTTCTTTTAAAACTGAAACACTTGGAAATCAACAAACAAATACCAGATTATATAGAGCATTGTATAAATTAAATTTTTACTAACCAGTCATAGAATATTAATATGTAAGTATTCAATAATATACAACACTATAATTACCTTTTCATTACCTAATTTGTATAATGGGCTACAAGCGTTAACCTTAATTTGTGTTTGTAATTGATTTATTTCTTCGTTTTCTTTGACTCCTTCTTTTTCTCCACATTTATTGATAGTGGAATTATTAATTTTCACTGGATAGTTATTATTGTTAATAATTTGATTGAATTTACGATTTGCCATTGAATAATCAAGATGTCTATATGAACCAGGTGGACGTCCACGATGTGTACGCCTTGATAATAAAGTTGGATTATTGTGTTCATTTGTATAGGATAGTGTCATTGGTACCGGTGGTCCTGATGATGATGATTTTAATGATTCTGATGTTGATGTAATCAAATTATTTGACCAGTCAATTGATTTTGTATTACTACTTGTTAAATTATAATTTAATTTAGTCATTTTGTTCATTTCTTTTAATGTCAATAAACCACAACGTGATTTTTTAGATTGCTGATATTCTTGTTGGACAATCTCACCATGACGACTTTTTAAATGATTTAACATAGTGGTTGTTGTACCGGAATTATTAAATGCTAATAAACTATCACATAGAATACATTGTGTATGAGTTAAATCTTTAGTACCCAAATTTAATTCGGGATGAAAAAAATATTTCCATACAAATGATTTTTTAGTACCAGTACGACTACCCCAATTCCCTGAACGTCTTGTTGAATTTCGCCAAAATTGAATATTGGATTTGTTGTAGTATTACGTGGAAAATTTGTAACCGGTGTCATTTTAGTTACAGTGTTATTATTAATAGTATCATAATTACTATTACAGGTTTGATTAAGAATAATAGGTGAACTTGATACAGTTGAAGAAATTATAGTACTAGGAACATATTCTTTAATATGATTTGAAACAATCACATTTGTTCTTGACCTGTCGAATTCTGTTTGCTCATTTTCTGTATATTGATTACTATCGTTTGTGTTATGAATATCAGTAGTTAAGTTAGTTGGTTGATAGTACTGTTTGAAATTCATATCCATGACAAAGAACACTGCTAGTTGTTATATGATTATTTATTTATTACCTCGATCATTTTGATTACATCTTCAATTTCTGTTGGTTCGGTATTCGGAAGTCTTCGAAAGTTGTGTGTTAGTGAAATTCTATCAGTGGATACATATAGCCATACAACAACCAAAATTTTGTTTGTTTTTATGAATAATGTAAGGAAGGGGTGCTTAGAAAAGAAATTAAATTTTTAGTGTTATTTGTTGTGCTATTTTTCTATCTAACCTTTTAGTGTCATACTTTCTACCCCTCTACTAGCTAGGATGAAATTCTGATTGGTTGAATTTATATCGTTTACCAGTTTGACCAATGAACGTAAAATTAAAAAGAAATATCATTGATAAATTATTTCAAGCGTTTGTTCATTCACCTTTCATAAGGATGAAGTTTATTTGTGTCGCTACTACTCAATTATCTGTTTGCAAAGAATAGTAATTAGCTTGACCACTTAAACATATGGTTTAAGACTAATACCGATGAAAAGTTTTAGTAAACTGAATTCATATTGTCAATCAATATTTAAAGTAATTTATTTTATCGAGAATATACCAAGGTTACAAATCTTTGATTTTTGCATTAGATCTTGTGCTAAGGTATTATATAAAAAAGTGAGTTTTCTGCTTAGAAGTATTCTTCGTGTGAATCATTAACTAGACGAAAATTAGACGAGATTAAATTTCAATTTCTAGTTAGAATTAACAGCATAATTTCAAGAGAATCAAATCTCTCATTTGATATTCATCCTAAAACTAATAATTATCATTTTGTAAATAAAAAGTATGAAACATAAGTTTATAATACTAGAAAGTAAACTAAGAAAATGTTATTAATACAAATACTAAGTATAGAAAAACTCAATGATCTGTTGACTTCAAATAATCAAACACAACATAGTTTTCAGTAGTAAAAGTTTATTTATGTTGATTTCGATTAGATCCTTATCAGGATTTGCTCTAATATATAGTAGTATTTATGTGAGCACAACTTCTTTAAAAAATATTTTATACTAATAAGAAACCTATGCAAAATACTTCGGATCCGTTGGATAGACACTATCAACAACCCTAAGTACTGGAAGTCGATAGGACACACATTGAAGAAAACGCCCACATGGGTCACAAGGCAAGCCCCCACTCGGAACCCTCAAGACCAAGGGAGGAAAGGAATATCAAAGAACACATTACGTCGAGAGATGGAGACAGACATGAGAATGATGAACAACAATTGTATAGAACTAGAAAGGAAGGCCGATGGCAGATAGGGTTGGAGGACGCTTGAGGTGACCTATGCTTCACTGGGAGTAACAGTCGTAATTAAGTAACTAATAAGAAATCAATAGATGCAACAAGCCACTCTTCTCTTCGTTATAAGTGAAAAAAGAGATAATTTTTTTAGTTGTTACCAATAAAACCTTGGTTTACTCATCATTTCGTTATAGGAATAAATTTTCTTTTTAGGAAGCTTCAATAAACCCTTGTATTATAATCAGAGAGGGATTGTATGGATATTATAGTAATTTAATAGTTGAATTCATGAGTCAATTGAAACTAGACCACCATGGAAAACCTGGAATCATTGGACGGCCGTTTCGTTCTAGTATGGGACTCCTCAGCAGTACGCCTCCACGATCCCGCCTCGCGAGTGCTTAACCTCTAGACAACTTTGCCGGCCGGCATCCAACGGTGCTATTGTCTAAATCCAACTAATCTAAGAAGTTGCGCCACCGTCTACCATTAATATTAGTGAGTTACTGTCTCACAACAGACCTGGTTGAACTTCACTGGTTACGGCTTCTCATTAGAACTCCAAGAAATAACCCTTGGAGACCGTTACTAGTGAGCATGTGATGTTTATAATCAGAGAGGTATTTTATTGATATTATAGTAACTTAATAGTTGAATTCATGAGTCAATTGAAGCTAGACCACCAAGGCAAACCTGGATACCAGCTCGGTGGTTTAGTGATTAAGCGCTAGCGCGCTAGACTGATAATTTCTGGGTTCGGACCTCGTGAGGCGGGATCGGGGATGCACACTGCTGAGGAGCTCCATACTTGGACGAAACGGCCGTTTAGTTCCTCCAGGTTTCCTTAGGTGGTCTCGCCGCAGTTGGTTCATGAATCCAACTATTAAACCCTTGTATGCTGAAAAATTTAAAATCATTATCAAAATCAATAGATCTATGAGTGATCTTTTATATTTTAAATTTAGTTCCAAACAGTTGTGACATGTTTTTTCAGAAATGTTTGTTAATAAGAATAAATCTAATATCTTTTTCAGAGTAATTACCAGTAGGAAAATGTCATTCAATGTTAGGAAGTAGATCTGCCTCGAAAATTTACACTTTATTTCTACACTACTTAACTTACACTTTTTATCCATTTTAAAAATCTTAAATTGATAATTTAAAAAAAGTTTTTTTTTCATGCTTACTATGAAATTGAATGAATACTCTCGACCTCAGGAAATGAAGATGTTTTCATCTTATCAATGAGGATAGAGTAAATGAAAGTAATCAAAATAAGAATAAGGGCCAAAATACAATCTCTTCAATGAAGAAAAAAAACAGTTCAACCAACATAAAAACAATTTTATTTATTTAAGTATTTCCTGTGTAAATGAATAATATCTAGCCAAATTCGTTAGATTATTTATGTATTTATCACAAGTTTTATATGGGTACCAGGACAAAAAAGAACATACTTTTTTTGGGTCACTGCTTATTTTCTATCTTTCCTTTTTTTTCAATTGGATTCAACTGAGTTACTTTGCAGAATAACTAAGAAACAATAGGTCAATGAAAAAAAGTAATACTAAGGATAATCCTATATGATAAATGAATGTTTTTGTTAATAACTGTATTGCTTTGTGTTTTTTCTACAGATTTTCATTAAAATTAATAGATAAGTTGATTTTCAATAACCATCAGTACGTTTATTTCAATTCTTGATAGGTTAAAGTGATTAAATTCATAGATAGTTTATAAAAACTGTTTGCCTGTGGTATTACAAAGAATGACAATCTAGTCATATTCATCTGGAATTTAGTAGTCTACTTCTTGATCAGATATTTCCTCATTAAGACTGAAATCTCTTGTTTATTATTAGAAATATCCATAAACTATTACTGGTAACAGTACTCGTGCGTTCATTAGTGACTAACTATTCAATAAATTATGTGAGTTTTTGAGTGAAATCACGTCATGTGAATTATAACTACGTTGGAAGGTCACTGTTGGAATAGAGTGAACGTCGTGTTGTAGAGTGAGTTGACTAGAGTTGAAAACATGGATTACTGAATTTACAAATATTCTGTGTGTTATTTTGTATGAATGACGGATACAACACAACTGAAGAGTACACAACAAAGATGAGATTCTCCCTCCCTTAATCCAATGTTTCTCCAGCTTCTCGTCAATTAGTAATGAAAAAAACTTTTCTAGAAGTGAATATATCAATTTCAAGTTAATATTCTGTCTCACTCCATATTTCGTTAAAATTCACATGGATAATTAAAAAAAATTCATTTTCTTCCTGATCTACATTTATATTGTTTAAAACAACACAGTGCTACAATCATTATAAAAAAAGTACAAGTATTTCCAAACAATTTACTACTCAAGATACTCAATGTCTGTTAACCTGAATCCATCAGCAACAGCCTATCGTGAGAAAGAACAAACCAGCTTCCAGCTGAAGAGGAAATTATAAAAAGACGTTGGAAGTCGATAGGACATATATTATGGAAATCACCAGACTGCATCACAAAGCAAGCGCTGACTTAGAATCCTGAAGGTGAACGGAAAAGAGGAAGGCCGAAGAACACACTACGTCGGCAATTGTAAGCAAACATGAAAAAGATCAATAGCAACTGAAAAGGATTATCCAGAACAGAGTTGGATGGAGAATACTGATGGACGACCTATGCTCCTCCACGACGGATAACAGGCGTAAGTAAAGTGAAGTAAAACAACACACTATTACAATAACTATTAAAATAAGTAATTTTGTAGTTTCTGTTTTTACGAATGGTTTAATGAAGAATACATTATTAAGTACTGGTTAGTTGATATCAATGGAAGTACAATGGTAGTCTAATAGTCGATGTATTTCATCAAATTACTATATTAAAGATATTGTTCAGTTTTATTCTCAATATTTGCTTCAAAAATTTACGAGTAAAAATGATTTCACTAATGTTCTACTCAGATTTAACACTTTTTTTCTTGCATTTAGATAGATCTTTTTATTTAATAGAAATTTTCAAAAATTTCTAAACTAACTTTAGTACATTTTATTAATTACTTGTACCTCATTATATCGTTAATTTTTCATGAATCCTGTTATTCTATAATCAATTCAGTCCGTCTACTCTTAAATAGGTTCATAATTTTTAAAGCACACATTTTCTAATTTCAGTGGTTATAATTAAATTAATTTATGTGAAAATAATGTATCTAATTCAACGATTAAAATAGTAATCAATGACAAGGTTTTTTTCTATCATTAACAGAGATATCAATTAAAGAGTTAAATAGTTTGTCCTGATTATGTCACCATTACTTTATTAAGTTGATATCTAATGGTGTACATTTCCTTACTGGCGTACTCATGTTTGTCAATCTTCGTGGGACGTTGACCTACGACTACGATTCTCCAATCAGCCCAGTCCCTCCCTTGCATTTCCGGTTTTCTCAAATTGCTATTCATTATTTTGATGTATGTCTCCAATTCCTGGCACAATGTGCTCGTTAGTCTACCTGTACTACTTTTGCCTAAACGATTCAAAATTACGGCTTGCCTCAAGATTCGATTTAATGATTTCCTCACTGTGAGTCTTATCCACTTCCAACATCTTTTCCAAATTTCCTGTTTATTTGGAAGTTAGTATGTTTTCTGACAAAGTAGGTTGTTGCTGATGGTGTCCGGCCAACGGACAATGAGTATCTTGTGTAGAAAACTGTTCATAAATACCCATACATTTTTATAAAGGTTGTGGTAGTTCTCCAAGTTTCAGCTCCTCACAGTAGAACTGTCATGACATTCGTATTGAAGATCCTGACTATGATG